GAAGTGAAAAGATGATGATGGAGTTTTTAAATATGTATTCCTCCATTGGTAAGAGCCATGGAGTTCTTTATTTTTTTAATAATTATTTTATAAAAAACAAAATTTTAAAATGTTTGCATTTTATTACTTTTTAAATAATCATGAGTTTTTTAAAAACTTATATAGAAGCAAATATAAATATGTTGATAAAAAAAAAGCAAATATAAATATAAAAAGCATACAAGAAAATAAATACATTAATTATGTTGATATTTTGTAGTGTTGTAAAAAAAAATGTACTTTGAGAAAGAGAAGATTGCAAAAAGAAATTACCAAAATTTGAGATGAAACAGGGAAAATGAAATATTGGAAACAACTTTGATGTGTCACCAATGTAAATAAAAAGAGAAGATAGGAAGGAGAAGTTGGAATAATCGGACCAGAGAGAAGAGAAAGGAAGGAGAGAGAGAAGAAAAAGAATTGTTTTTTTTTTCTATATTTTACTTCTCATCCAATCATAATCTGCCACATAACAGTCTCTTCCCACAACAAAAGGTTCTCGTTTAGAAGCCGGTTCTCTTAATTATCATGAATTAAACATTTATTTTTAATTTTAATTACCTTAAAAATGCTCTGAGAACCCACTGTTGTGGCTGGTCTAAGAGGGAACCGACAAGTTTACATGGGAGAAACAAAAACCTAGCCCCTTGCACATTTTGCAAGTTTTTTTGGCACAACCATTATCCACTTTAGGAATATGTCTTAAACTAAAATCAACACAATGATCTCTAAAACACCTAAAATTCTCCAACTTTGAAAGAAAGCAGGCCAATCGTCAACTCATTACATGTAACATGCCGTCTTATATAAATATTTTCAAATATTTTTTTTTATAATAAATTTAGATTATTTATAATTTTCAAATATTTATCAGTGAAATATTTATCATATTATATAAAATTCAAGTTAAAATATTTTTATAATTTTCAGATTAAAATATTTTAAAAGATTTTAATATTAAAAATAACTTATTTTAACGAAAAAATGTATCAAATTGAAAATATTCAAATTTCAAAATATTTTCTGGAATATATATTTCTCTAAAACAAAATATATAACTTATTTAAAAAAATTTCTTCATTTTTTTGAACTAGTTATATTCATTTTTAGAAATCAAGTCATGGCATATGCGGAATTGTTTTTATGTTATATATATGATATGATGGTTATTGTTTTCTTAAAAAAAGAATCATATAAAGATTAGAGGTGAAATAAATGATTAATAACAATAGAAGAAGATAGATATCAAATCTTGTGTATTTATTTTGATTGGCTATTCATTTTTTTGAAAATCATATATATAAAAGTAAGGTTCCACTCTCTCCTTATTGGTGGAAAAATATTTAAGGCTTTAATTAAAAAAAATAAAAAAAAATAAATGGTTATGACAATCATTCAATACAAAATTTAATTACACTATACGTTATAATCAAATGGCAAAGAAAATGAAAGGACTTAATCATATATCATTCAACAAAATAAATAAATGTTTATGACAATCATTCAATACAAAATTTAATTACACTATAAGTTATCAAATGACAAAGAAAATGAAAGGACTTAATCATATATTATACAACAAATTTTATAAGCCTTATTGGTGGAAAATTATTTAAAATCATATATATATATATAATATATATTCTCAATTGTTCATCTCTCTTTATTGTTCCATTTTGTATTTATTTTTTAAAATATAATATTTATTTTTAACCAAAAAACACATTTAATCATATACATTAATTCATAATTTAAATTCACATTTTACTACTAAAATGAAACTGAAAATTATATAAATTTCCAAAGACTATTGGTTTTCTTTATTGAATTCCAATTAAACACACTATAAATTATAATTATAACTCCTCTAATTTAATTATTTTAAAAATGTAACTTACATCACTTCTTATCATATAAATAGTCATTCTAACATCATTCTCTACCATATCTCATATCTTCATTATTCTCTTTGTTTTTTTTAAAGTTCTTGCATGGGGTGAAAACTCATTTAAAATATCATTGTAAGAGTTTGATTAATTATTTAGTTTAAACTTTTATTTTCAATTTTATTTATTTTTTGTTTTTATGTATTTCTTTATGTCTTCATTGTTTTTTATATTTTTAAATGTAATACATATGTATAATAATATTTTATGATTATAAGAAAATCAAGGTAAAGAAACCATCTTCGTTCTTTTACTTTGGATGTTTGTTTCTTTCTCACATATTCATGTATATTTAATTTATTTTCAAAAGTATGTAATTTTTTAACAAAATAAACTTTTTGTTATATAATTATCAAACCAATTTGTAAGACATTCTTTTAAGAATAATGATCCTTATATTTAATTTGTGATTCAACATGTAATAATACAAAGAACATTATAATTTGTTTTAACTTTGAATTTTATACTTGATTTCCTATCTAAAAAACAATTTGATATTCCATTTTCTATCTATTATATATACTACAAGGATGAAAAATATAATTAAACCTAGAAATATAACTTAAATTAAGAGGAAAATAAAAAGAGATTAAAAATAAAATTATT